ATGGTCACGTAACAGCCGCGAGCCGCAGAGGGGTTGGGGGGCCCTCATCCAGCAGTGGACACAGAACGATGGCGTCAGCATTGGATGCAGGTCCCATGCCTCCTCTCCCTCCTCTCCTCACTCCACGTCCCCTCTCCTCATCTCACATCCTCCTCCCTTACCCCTTTTCATTCGCTTCTCTCCGTTCACCGCTTCTCCCCTCTCCCTCCTCTCCCTCCCCCTCCTCCTCTCCCCGTGGTGTCTCTCTGGCGTGACGCGAGCTCCGCTAATGAAGAAATCACGCCGAGTTGATGTTCGCGCAGAGCGAAGTCACTGGGGGGGAGGGGTAGGGGGATGACTTTAATTAATGAGAACCCTAATGCGGGCATTTGGCGACAGCCGCGCCCATCTGGCGGAGCGCGCGGGAGAGAGAGCGGAGAGGGTTGGGAGGGGGGAGAGTGGGAGATTGTGGGGGGGGGGAGAAAGAGGTGAGAGAGAGAGTGGTTTCAGAGGAGGGAAAGTTTGGATAGTGGGGGGAGAGCGATGGGGGTTGGGGGGGGGAGTGTGAATGAGGTAAGGAGGAGAGCGTGGGAGAACGGTGAGATGGTGGGGAGAGTTTGGAGAGAGGAGGGGAGAATGTGGGGAGAGCTGAGAGAGAGTCTGGAGATGAGAGGACATAGTGTGGGAGAGCAGGGAACGTTGGGGAGAAGCGTGGGGGAGAAGGGTCCAGTGAGGAGAGAGATGGCGGGAGAGTGTCGAAAGTAGCGCGTGGGGAGAGTGGGCAGAGATGAGAGCTCGCGGGAGACTGCGAGACGCAGGAAGGGGGGAGAGGGAGGGAGAGGGAGGGAGAGGCATGGAGAGGGAGGGGAGAGGCAGGGAGAGGGAGGGGAGAGGCAGGTAGAGGGAGGGGAGAGGCAGGGAGAGGGAGGGGAGAGGCAGGGAGAGGGAGGGGAGAGGCAGGGGAGAGCGAGGGGAGAGGCAGGGAGAGGGAGGGGAGAGGCAGGGAGAGCGAGGGGAGAGGCAGGGAGAGGGAGGGGAGAGGCAGGGAGAGGGAGGGGAGAGGCAGGGAGAGGGAGGGGAGAGGCAGGGGAGAGCGAGGGAGAGGCAGGGAGAGGGAGGGGAGAGGCAGGGAGAGGGAGGGGAGAGGCAGGGAGGGAGAGGGAGGGGAGAGGGAGTGTGATGGAGCGCAGGGAATGGATGAAGTGACGCGAGTGTTGGCTCGGACAACTCTCACGGGGAGAGAGGTCAGAGGTCCGCCGGGAGAGGCGCGCGCGTGTGGAGAGATCCTGGGGAGGGGGCGAGGTGGGGGGGGGGCTACCGGAGGGGGATAGAGGAGGAGGGGAGGGGTCACGGAGATGTGGGGGACACCCTCCGCCAGATGGGCGAGTTGACGGAGAGACTCTCCGCGGACAGCGACCTCGCCAAGACGAGAGCGAGGGGGGGGGGAGACAGAACCAAGGTAGAGGGCGATGACTGACGAGAGGGTGACGTGGCCCCCGGTGGCGGGACTGGATGAGCAGATGGAACTGCAACTGAAGAAGACTTTCGCCGCAGATCGCGCGGCGCAAGGCTGGAGGTGGTGGCGCTGGAGGTGTCGCGCCCGGCTGGCGGCTCGCGTGGAGCTGCTTGCAGGCTGGAGGAGCTCCTGGAAGGTCTCGGCTCCTGGCTGGCTGCGGGCAGTGGAGGGAGGCTGCCGTGGGCGCCGGGCCGAGCGGCGAGCGGGTGTCGCGTCCCTTGCGGGTGACAGATGCCGGCTCCACGTGGCCGGGGCGGTGGGGGGCACGGTGGGGGGGGGGGGGCAGGCGACCGATTCAATCAGGGGCAGGGGCGACTTGCCAACCACAACAACAACCAACAGCAGCAGCAGCAGCTACAGCTGATCCATAAACACAGCGCAGGCGACTCGCGTCCCAACTCGTACATAACGTCAAACACGCGCACAAAGCCAAAGACGCCGTGTAACCTGAGCACACTGTTGGGGTAAGTGCTGTTAGCGAGCACCTATGAAGCCTGGCACGGCCCACGAGAGGGTGGGTGGCCAGCACCACGCCCGACCGCCTTTGCCACCCCAGTGGCGATGTTTACACACTGCACCAGGTACTCATTTGAGGCTGAGTCTACCTAGGTGGAGGCCAATGACCTGTTCAGTTAACAGTCACTGGCGTTGGCCGTGAGCGGGAATGGAACTCGGGTCACCGGGTTCGTAGCACAGCGAGCGCACTAACCGCTACACTACCGCTCCCCATTATTCCACACGCAACACACTCTCCCATATACACGCACACGCCCCCCACAACAACCGCCATTCGCCACTAAGTGCCGGTTACGTCACCACGGCTCTTGTGCCAGGCTAAGTGCACTAAGACCACGTGAAGTGTCGAACGCCCGCAAGCAGGTCACGGGACAGACCCAAGTGTCATGGGTTGACTGGCCGATACACCACCTGTGCCCCCTACTGTGCCAACTTGCTGTTTTATCCGCCCGGCGCTCCACTCGTTGTGAGCGTCGCTCCTCTACCTTCCGTTGATGCTGGAGGGCGACTGCCTCCAACTGCCCAGCAGCGTCCTTCACGAGCCTCCTCCTCAGAGGCCGATCTTGACACCGCTGGTACCAGTCATCGGCAAGTCCACTCAGCTCCACGTCCTCCTGTACCACATCACTCCATCTCTTCTCTCGCCCGTGCCACGCCCGTTTACCCCCCCCCCCCCCTATTCGGCCGAACAAAAGCTGTTTAGGCATGCGGTGGTTGGGCATGCGGGCTACATGACCCAGCCAACGCAGCCTTGCCTGCCGGAGGTCACCGATGGGACTTTGTCCAGATCTTTCACGGATTTGTGAGCTACTCACACAATCCAGCCTGGTTAAACCCAATGGGGAGTTGAGTGGGGCTGTTGGTAAGGCCCCACCTCTTAGTGGCACGCTCCAGGTTTATCAGCAGCGCCGCCAACTCTTCTTCTGAGTGAGCAGCAATCACCAGATCATCAGCATACATAGCGCTGTTGACCAATAGCGAGTCATCCCTTGAGCGCATCGATCAGCAGTGGCGTAGCTAGGATATTTTGCGCCCGGGGACGAACTATAAAATTGGCGCCCCCCACCGCGTTTAATCACATACCAAAATGTAATTACATGACATGTAGGCTGTGTGTGGCGGGATATATAAACTTTTAGGTTGAGGTGTAGATTTGTGCAGTAGTTTCAGGCTGCCGCGCCCGCCACAATAAGTTATAATGTCACGTTGTAAGCCTCATTTTGGCGCCCCTTTACCTTGGCGCCCGGGGACATGTGTACCCCCCTGCCCCCCCCCTAGCTACGCCTCTGTCGATCAGCCTCCCATTGTATCTGTACCAGATGGAGATTTCTCCAGTACAGCCGTTGAAGGCCTCACGAACTACGTGCTCAAAATAGATGTCAAATGCTGTGGAGGCCAGAGGACATCCCTGTCGCACCCCACGGTGAACGGTCAGTGAGTGTTTCTGAGTGTTTGTAATGCAGTGTTTGTGATACAGTGACTGAGTGTTTGTGAGTGTTTGTGATGCAGTGAGTAAGTGTTTCTGAGTGTTTGTGATGCAGTGAGTGAGTGTTTGTGAGTGTTTGTGAGTGTTTGTCATGCAGTGAGTGAATGTTTGAGTGTTTGTGATGCAGCGAGTGAGTGTTTGTGAGTGTTTCTGAGTGTTTGTGAGTGTTAGTGAGTGAGTGTTTCTGAGTGTTTGTGATGCAGTGTTAGTGAGTGAGTGTTTGTGAGTGTTTGTGATGTCAGTGAGTGAGTGTTTGTGAGTGTGAGTGAGTGTTTGTGAGTGTTTGTGAGTGTTTGTGATGCAGTGAGTGAGTGTTTCTGAGTGTTTGTGATGCAGTGAGTGAGTGTTTGTGAGTGTTTGTGAGTGTTTGTCATGCAGTGAGTGAGTGTTTCTGAGTGTTTGTGATGCAGTGAGTGAGTGTTTGTGAGTGTTTCTGAGTGTTTGTGATGCAGCGAGTGAGTGTTTGTGATGCAGTGAGTGAGTGTTTCTGAGTGTTTGTAATGCAGGCGCAGTCTCTCGAGACGCGTGCTCAGGACGGGCCAAGGCGGGAGAGCGGCCGTCCCTCCCGACAGATGTGACATCCCAGCCAGAGCCAAGTCGTCATCAACGGCAAGCACCGATGCAGCGATTGCGCACCAGGGTGGTGGTGCAGTGCTGGTGCAGTGGTGGTGGTGCAGTGGTGGTGCAGTGGTGGTAGTGGTGCAGTGGTGGTGCAGTGGTGGTAGTGGTGGTGCAGTGGTGGTGGTGGTGCAGTGGTGGTGGTGCAGTGGTGGTGGTGGTGCAGTGGTGGTGCAGTGGTGGTGGTGCAGTGGTGGTGGTGGTGCAGTGGTGACACCGGAGCTCACAGCAAGATGGGTCCTGGGTTCGATTCCCGACTTGGGCGCCCAAAGTTTGTGTGTTCTCTCCCCTGTGCTGCAGTGAGTGAGTAGAGTGTGTGTGTTCTCTCCCCTGTGCTGCAGTGAGTGAGTAGAGTTTGTGTGTTCTCTCCCCTGTGCTGTAGTGAGTGAGTATAGTTTGTGTGTTCTCTCCCCTGTGCTGTAGTGAGTGAGTATAGTTTGTGTGTTCTCTCCCCTGTGCTGTAGTGAGTGAGTATAGTTTGTGTGTTCTCTCCCCTGTGCTGTAGTGAGTAGTGAATAGAGTTTGTGTGTTCTCTCCCCTGTGCTGTAGTGAGTGAGTAGAGTTTGTGTGTTCTCTCCCCTGTGCTGTAGTGAGTGAGTAGAGTTTGTGTGTTCTCTCCCCTGTGCTGTAGTGAGTGAGTAGAGTTTGTGTTCTCTCCCCATGTGCTGTAGTGAGTGAGAGATATGTCCAGTAGCGTCCTTCACGAGTCTCCTCCAAAGACGCCTTCTTGGCACCGCTGGTACCACTTCAGATCCTCCTGTGCCACATCAGTCCATCTCCTCTCCAGCCTGTGCCGGTCAAACTCTCTCTCTCTCTCACACCGGCCCACACGCCGCGCTCTCCAGTCGACGCGAGTTCGGAGTGCTGACCCAGAGGCTCTCAGACTGCAGCAGGATTCTCAACGTTTCTTTACAATAATTAATCACCACCACCAAGAACAACAACCGCCATCAACAACTCAACGCGTATGATCTCGCAGCCGATATCCTGGTTCGATGTTGATGTTCGCGTTGGGCCACGTAAAGATCTGGCAAACATGTTGTTGAGAAAGCCCTCCACCACCCGACAAGGCCTTGCCAATTCCACCGTCACACCCGTGGCACAAGCGCCGGTTGTGATCATTTCGGCTCGGCTCACCGGGTGAGCTGTGGGTGAGCTTACCCGTGTCGGGTGGTGGAGGGCTTACACAACAAAACTTTGGCCAGTTCATTATGGTCTGAATTACAAAATCGATTACAAATGACGATAGGCAACAGTAAACAACAACGCACGGCCTTTAAAAAAACCCCACGCGGACGGCGGCAGCAGCAGTAGCGCACGGCGACCCGAGCCAGTGATCACGTGACCCACATCCGTCTTTGTCTCCCCAGGCCCTAAACAAGGGGCTTCACTCACGTGGCCTCATCAAGATGCGAACCACTCCCAATCTTCGCATCGAGGTGCCTCCAGTTAGCACGGTTGGCGCCTTTACCTTTATTATCTGCACCTGAGAGATTGCAGGTGTACACCTCAAACAGAACAGGTGTACCCCGGCCCAGTAGGAGGAGTGCTTCACAGCGAGAGTGTCAGTGTCCCTGTCACCTGGCCGTCCAGGTGTCCCTCTCACCTGGCCGTACAGGTGTGGCGCATCACCTGGGAGTGACAGGTGTGGCGCATCACCTGGGAGTGATAGGTGTGGCGCATCACCTGGTCAGTTCGATCCCGGCGGCCGCCCTGGTTAGACTATTACTACTATAATGAGCCACATGCCACACCCCCACCACCCGTCATTAATATTCATGTCACTACACATGTAGCAACCCCCCTCATTAATACTCATGAGCAGGTGACGTTACTGCACATCGAACGGCCCCCCTCATTAATAATCATGAAGAGGTGACGTCTTCCAAACGGACACCCCCCCCCATCCCCCCATTCATAATAATTAGCGGCTGACGTCACTCCACATGGGGGGGGGGGCGAGGCGCCTCCTCCCCCCTCCACGGCGTCAACTCACAGCCCTCACTCACAAGGCAGAACCCTCACGTCGTCACGCGGTCTCCGTAGCGCTGTTGAGACATCGAAGTAAAAAGGACGTAGTGATGAACAAGGGATTAGAACCTGTAACTGAAGTAGGTTTGTGTCACCGTGCCCTTACTAATTGCACACGCATTGATACAATGATTATATCACGTCGCGGTCTGATTTTCGCTTGCAAGTTTCAGATTTACTGCAATACACCCGTCCTTGGACGGGCAAAAGGCGAGTGGTGGTGTATATTAAGCGTGTACAGAGTAACTGTTGTAATGTTACCACGGTGCACGTATTAGGCGCCACCTGCTTTGCTCACAGCGGACGTTACAAATCCTGTGACGTCAATTTCGTCACGGCCAATAAAAAAAATGGCCCCACAAATGTCTCTCTGGGGAAACGTCATCACCACGTGGCCCGCTACTACCAACCGCGAGCGAACGGCAGTACCCGTCGGTGAAGCATAGCGGGGCCGTCCGTCACGACGGCCTTGCACACTGGGGAAATGGCGCCAACTCCAAATGCACCCACGGTTGGTTGAGTTAAGGTGGGTGAGCGAGTGTTCGGGTGAGTGGGCCACTGGGTGGGTGAGCGAGTGTGTGGGTGAGTGGGCCACTGGGTGGGTGAGCGAGTGTGTGGGCCACTGGGTGGGTGAGCGAGTGTGTGGGTGAGTGGGCCACTGGGTGGGTGAGCGAGTGTGTGGGCCACTGGGTGGGTGAGCGAGTGTGTGGGTGAGTGGGCCACTGGGTGGGTGAGCGAGTGTGTGGGCCACTGGGTGGGTGAGCGAGTGTGTGGGTGAGTGGGCCACTGGGTGGGTGAGCGAGTGTGTGGGTGAGTGGGCCACTGGGTGGGTGAGCGAGTGTGTGGGTGAGTGGGCCACTGGGTGGGTGAGCGAGTGTGTGGGCCACTGGGTGGGTGAGCGAGTGTGTGGGTGAGTGGGCCACTGGGTGGGTGAGCGAGTGTGTGGGTGAGTGGGCCACTGGGTGGGTGAGCGAGTGTTCGGGTGAGTGGGCCACTGGGTGGGTGAGCGAGTGTGTGGGCCACTGGGTGGGTGAGCGAGTGTGTGGGTGAGTGGGTGAGTGGACGGGTGAGCGGGTGGACGGGTGGGCGGGTGGGCGGGCGAGTGGGTGGGTGGGTGGGCGAGTGGGTGGGTGAGAGGGCGAGTGGGCGGGTGAATGGGCGAGTGGGCGGGCGAGTGGGCGAGTGGGTGGGTGAGTGGGCCACTGGGTGGGTGAGTGAGCGGGTGGGTGGGTGAGTAGGCGAGCGAGCATGTGAGCGGAGGATCCTGCGTGTTGGTGAGCGGACGAGTGACACTCTACCCCATCTGTGAAACACAGCGCCTCCGTCCGTCCGTGAGACAGCGCCGTGCGCTGTCGGAACGGCGCGCGAGCACCCACCAGCGTGGCGCCCCCCAACCGATTTGATTGTCCAGCGATCGCACGTGCGTACTCCCCCCCTTCCAGGCGCATCTTCCCGTGGCCCCTTAACCCCCGCGGTCTCGGCGGCGCGTTGGGGAGGGGGGGGGGTCTCAGAACTCGTCGTGGCGTTTGAGCTCCTCGCCGAAGTTGGTCGCCTGGCTGCCGATGAAGAGGTCGAACTTGTTGAGGATCTCCTCGACGCTCAGCTTGCCGTCCTGCTCACCTCGTCACCACCACCGCCACAATTATCATCATCATCATCACCACCATCAGAACTAGACATCACCACCACCAGAACTAGACACACATCATCATTTTCATTGCCATCATCACCATCTGAGACGTCATCGTCGTCATCACCATCGTCACAGGTGACACAGGTGTGTGTGTGTCACAAGTGTGTCTGTGACACAGGTGTGTGTGTCACAGGTGTGTGTGTCACAGGTGTGTGTGTGTGTCACAGGTGTGTGTGTCACAGGTGTGTGTGTGTCCCAGGTGTGTGTGTGTCACAAGTGTGTCTGTGACACAGGTGTGTGTGTCACAGGTGTGTGTGTGACACAGGTGTGTGTGTGACACAGGTGTGTGTGTGTCACAGGTGTGTGTGTGTCACAGGTGTGTGTGTGTCACAGGTGTGTGTGTCAGGTGTGTGTGTGTGTTACAGGTGTGCGCGTTTTTACACCTGCTCGTCTGTAGCAGGTGAGATGCAGTGTCAGAGAAAGCGCAGGGCGGTGAGTGGTGGTGCAGCGGTTAGCGTGCTACGCTACAAAACCGGTGATCCGAGTTCCCGCTTAAGGTCAACACCAGTGACGATTATCTAAACATCGCCATCCATCCCCTCGTGTGCCGTGCCGGCATTAGTGCTGCTCACTAACTGCACTTGCTCCAAAAAGTCTGTTGAGTCTACACGTGGGGGAATCTTTGTCTTTGTTACACACTCTCACTCCGTCTCTCTCCGTCTCTCTCTCTCTCCGTCTCTCTCCGTGGCCCTCTGCTCACCGCGTCGGCGTCGCTCTCGTGCACCAGGTGCTGTGCCTCGATGTCGGCGTGGTCGTAGTCGCTGGGCAGCACCCAGGCCCGCGTCTCGGCGCGCCCCATCCTGCCGTCGCCGTCCGTGTCGCGCACCGCCAGGAACTGCGCCCGCTCCGTGCGCACCCACTCGGGCTCCTCCGCCTCCCCCCCCTGCCGCTCCCCGTCCGCGTCGTCTCCCGCGCTCGGCTCCCGCGAGAACATGTCTCCTGCGGTGGACACCACGGTGGTGGACGTCAGAGGTGGACATCAGATGATGATGATGATGATTTGAGATTTCACGATAACAGCAGTGGCGTTAAATTTCGATTTGAAGCTTTCGTGACTGCAGGGATTCATCTTCTTGGTTCTTTCGGTAAAGTCACGTAGAAGGGAAATAAAATAATAATAATTAAACATAATAAAATACAATTCTCACGACGTTTCGGCCACAACACAAGCAGCCGTCCTCAGGTGAAGAACGGGTCTGTCGGGAAGACAGCGTCACGTAGAAGCGTCAGACGCTGTCTTTCCGACAGACCTGTTCTTCACCTGAGGACGGCTGATTGTGTTGTGGCCGAAACATCGTGAGAATTTTTTTTATTATGTTTTATTATTATTATTTTATTATTTCCCTTCTACGTGACTTTACCGAAAGAACCAAGAAGAGCAGTGGCGTTGTTCGTCACAAGAACGATGAGACCAGTGAGACGTTTGCTGCTGTTGACGACGGTGATTGCGAAGACAGGGGATGAGATTTCGACGTGGTGGCATGTGTGTTGGTGTGTGTGTTGGTGTGTGTGTTGGTGTGTGTGTTGGTGTGTGTGTTGGTGTGTGTGTTGGTGTGTGTGTTGGTGTGTGTGTTGGTGTGTGTGTTGGTGTGTGTGTTGGTGTGTGTGTTGGTGTGTGTGTGTTGGTGTGTGTGTTGGTGTGTGTGCTGGTGTGTGTGTTGGTGTGTGTGTTGGTGTGTGTTGGTGTGTGTGTTGGTGTGTGTTGGTGTGTGTTGGTGTGTGTTGGTGTGTGTGTTGGTGTGTGTGTTGGTGTGTGTGTTGGTGTGTGTGTGTTGGTGTGTGTGTGTTGGTGTGTGTGTGTTGGTGTGTGTTGGGGTGTGTGTTGGGGTGTGTTGGTGTGTGTGTTGGTGTGTGTGTTGGTGTGTGTTGGGGTGTGTGTTGGTGTGTGTGTTGGGTGTGTGTTGGTGTGTGTGTTGGGGTGTGTTGGGGTGTGTGTCGGTGTGTGTGTTGGGGTGTGTGTTGGGGTGTGTGTTGGGGTGTGTGTTGGGGTGTGTGTTGGGGTGTGTGTTGGGGTGTGTGTTGGGGTGTGTGTTGGGGTGTGTGTTGGGGTGTGTGTTGGTGTGTGTGTTGGTGTGTGTGTTGGTGTGTGTGTTGGTGTGTGTGTTGGTGCGTGGGTTGGTGTGTGTGTTGGTGTGTGTGTTGGTGTGTGTGTTGGTGTGTGTGTTGGGGTGTGTGTTGGGGTGTGTGTTGGGGTGTGTGTTGGGGTGTGTGTTGGTGTGTGTGTTGGTGTGTGTGTGTTGGGGTGTGTGTTGGGGTGTGTGTGTGTTGGGGTGTGTGTTGGGGTGTGTGTTGGGGTGTGTGTTGGGGTGTGTGTTGGGGTGTGTGTGTTGGGGTGTGTGTTGGTGTGTGTGTTGGGTGTGTGTGTTGGGGTGTGTGTGTGTTGGGGTGTGTGTTGGGGTGTGTGTTGGTGTGTGTTGGTGTGTGTGTTGGGGTGTGTGTTGGGGTGTGTTGTGTGTGTTGGGTGTGTGTTGGGGTGTGTGTTGGGGTGTGTGTTGGGGTGTGTGTTGGTGTGTGTGTTGGGGTGTGTGTGTTGGGGTGTGTGTTGGTGTGTGTGTTGGGGTGTGTGTGTTGGGGTGTGTGTTGGGGTGTGTGTTGGGGTGTGTGTTGGTGTGTGTGTTGGGGTGTGTGGCGGCGTCTGACCAATGTACTCCTCGATGTCGATGGTTCCGTCCCCGTCCTTGTCGAGGTCCTCGATCGTCTCCTGCGATGACGCGGGGGCAGGGGGGAGGGGGGAGGGGGGGACATCTTCGGTTGGGGATCGAGCAGGAGCAGGAACAAAGACAAAGACTCCCCGTGTAGCCTTCAACAGACTGTTGGGGCAAGTGCAGCTAGCGAGCACCGACGAAGGGCGGCACGACACACGAGGTGGTGGGTGGCCAGCACCACGCCCGGCCGCCTTTGTCTCCCCAGTGGCGATATTTACACACCACACCAGGTACTCATTTGAGGCAAAGTAGACCTAGGGGAGGCTCAGGACCGCTTCAAATCATCGTCACTGGTGTTGGCCGTGAGCCGGGACTCAAACTCGGGTCGCCGGGTTCGTAGCGCAGCGTAGTGCTAACCACTACACTACGGGACTGTGGCACACACACGCACCGACACACACACACGCACCGACACACACACACGCACCGACACACACGCACCGACACACACACACGCACCGACACACACACACGCACCGACACACACGCACCGACACGCACGCGCGCACCGTGATGACGAGCTCGGCCATGTGCTCGTGCTCGTCGGGGTGCAGGAAGGCCGAGAACTCCTCCCGAGTCATCCGCCCGTCCGCGTCGCCGTCCGCGTGGGAGAAGCGGCGCCGGTCGCGCGCCAACATCCGCCGGTACCCACCGCCTTCCTCACCGTCGCCACCGTCCTCCTCTGGGGGCATGCACCACACCACCTCATCACCACCAACGCCACCAACATCACCACCAACATCAACACCACCACCAACATCACCACCGACATCATCAACACCACCACCGACACTACCACCACCGACACCACAACCACCGCCGACGTGTCCTGCGTACGTGGCCTGCGCACCGAAGTGGAAGCCGTAGGTGGTGTTGTGGTACCCAAGTGGAAGCCGTAGGTGGTGTTGCGGTACCCAAGTGGAAGCCGTAGGTGGTGTTGCGGTACCCAAGTGGAAGCCGTAGGTGGTGTTGTGGTACCCAAGTGGAAGCCGTAGGTGGTGTTGCGGTACCCAAGTGGAAGCCGTAGGTGGTGTTGCGGTACCCAAGTGGAAGCCGTAGGTGGTGTTGCGGTACCGAAGTGGAAGCCGTAGGTGGTGTTGTGGTACCCAAGTGGAAGCCGTAGGTGGTGTTGTGGTACCCAAGTGGAAGCCGTAGGTGGTGTTGTGGTACCCAAGTGGAAGCCGTAGGTGGTGTTGTGGTACCCAAGTGGAAGCCGTAGGTGGTGTTGCGGTACCCAAGTGGAAGCCGTAGGTGGTGTTGCGGTACCCAAGTGGAAGCCGTAGGTGGTGTTGCGGTACCCAAGTGGAAGCCGTAGGTGGTGTTGTGGTACCCAAGTGGAAGCCGTAGGTGGTGTTGCGGTACCCAAGTGGAAGCCGTAGGTGGTGTTGTGGTACCCAAGTGGAAGCCGTAGGTGGTGTTGCGGTACCCAAGTGGAAGCCGTAGGTGGTGTTGTGGTACCCAAGTGGAAGCCGTAGGTGGTGTTGCGGTACCCAAGTGGAAGCCGTAGGTGGTGTTGCGGTACCCAAGTGGAAGCCGTAGGTGGTGTTGTGGTACCGAAGTGGAAGCCGTAGGTGGTGTTGCGGTACTCGTCCCAGGACACGTGGTCGTCGCGGTCCGCGTCGTACTCGCGCCAGTGGCGTGCCACCTCCTCGGCCGCGTAGCGCCGCTGCGTGAACTTGATCCACACGCGCAGCTCGGAGCGCGACACCAGCCCGTCCTCGTCCACGTCCATCCGCTCCACAAGCGCCCTGCACCATCACCACCGCCACCACCGCCACCACCGTCACCACCACGCAGAGAATCGACACCTTCACTACCACCGTCACCACTGCCACCACCACCGTCACCGTCACCGCCACCGTCACCGCCACCGTCACCACGCAGAGAATTGACACCGCCGCCGCCGCCGTCACCACCACTACAGGGATGCGGCGGGCAGGTTGAGGGTGATGATGAGGAGGAGCGAGGAGGTAAAGGATTGAGGAAGGGAGGACGGTGACGACCGTGGTGCTGACGACGAGGCGGCTGCCGACTCACGCGAGCCGCCGCTTGCTCTGCTCGGGGCCGAGGCTCTCGAAGGCCCGAGCCTCCTCGGGGTCCAGGATGGGGGGGGGGGGCACCTCCTCGGGGCGCTGCTGCCCCCCCTCGGCGTCGGGACGCGGGGGGGTGGCCACGCGGTCGCGCGCCGGGGCCCCCCGCGGCACCGCCGGCTTGCAGCTCCCCGGGCCCGGCCAGGAGGCCACGAGCAGCAGCAGCAGCAGGAGGGGGGGCCGGAGGAGTCGGGTGGAGGTGGAGAGGCCCACGGGGCCTCGCGTGCTGGGCGAAGATGGCCACGAGGAGGCGCGTGCAGGGGAGAGATCCATGGCGATGCGGCGATGACCTGGTTACACAGACAAAGACAAAAGTCCCCCCGTGTGGCCTTTCATAGACCGTTGGGGCAAGTGCCACCACGGGGAGGGAGGCCGGCACCAGGCCTGCCACCGGTCGCCCCCTGATATCCCTCCCCAGTGCTGATGTCCAGACACCGTATCACCAGGTACTCGTTTAAGGCTGAGTCGACATAGGGGGGGCCCAACACCGGTTTGGATAATTCTATATAATCGCTGCTTGTATTGATGGTCGTGAGCGGGAATCGAACTCGTCTTGCCGGGTTCAGTGTCGTGAACTAACTGCACCTCCGATTAGCACGATTGTTGAATACGGTGTAAAAGAAGTTCAACAGACATACACTATCCAGCACACGCAGCACACTAACACACACAGCAAACTAACACACACAGCACACTAACACACACAGCACACTAACACACACAGCACACTAACACACACACACAATAACACACACAGCATACTAACACACACAGCAAACTAACACACACACACACAATAACACACACAGCACACTAACACACACAGCACACTAACACACACAGCACACTAACACACACAGCACACTAACACACACAGCACACTAACACACACAGCACACTAACACACACACAATAACACACACAGCATACTAACACACACACACACACAATAACACAGACAGCACACTAACACACACAGCACACTAACACACACAGCACACTAACACACACAGCACACTAACACACACAGCACACACACAGCACACACACAGCACACTAACACAAACTAACACACACACAGCACACACACAGCATACTAACACACACACAGCGCACTAACACATACTAACACACACAGCACACACAGCACACTAACACACACAGCACACTAACACACACAGCACAATAACACACACATCACACTAACACACACAGTGCACTAACACACACAGCACACTAACACACACAGCGCACTAACACACAGCACACTAACACACACTAACACACACACACAGCACACACACAGCACACAGCGCACTAACACACACTAACACACACAGCACACACAGCACACAGAGCACACTAACACACACAGCACACACAGCACACTAACACACACAGCACACACAGCACACACAGCACACTAACACACACAGCGCACTAACACACACAGCGCACTAACACACACTAACACACAAAGCACACTAAAACACAAAGCACACTGACACACACAGAGCACTAACACACACAGCGCACTAACACACACTAACACACACAGCACACACAGCACACACAGCACACTAACACACACAGCACACACACCACACTAACACACAGCACACTAACACACACTAACACACACACACACAGCACACACAGCACACACTGACACACACAGCACACTAACACACACAGCACACTAACACACACAGCACACTAACACACACAGCGCACTGACACACACAGCACACTAACAAACACAGCACACTATCACACACAGCACACTAACACACACAGCACACTAACACACACTAACACACACAGCGCACTAACACACACAGCACACTAACACACACTAACACACACAGCGCACTAACACACACAGCGCACTAACACACACAGCACACTAACACACACAGCACACTAACACACACAGCACACTAACACACACTAACACACACAGCGCACTAACACTCACAGCACACTAACACACACACACAGCACACTAACACACACAGCGCACTAACACACACTAACACATCACACTAACACACTAACACACAGCGCACTAACACACACTAACACACAGCGCACTAACACACACAGCACACACAGCACACTAACACACAGCACACTAACACACACTAACACACACTAACACACAGCACACTAATACACACTAACACACACTAACACACACACTAACACACACAGCGCACTAACACACACAGCACACTAACACACACTAACACACACAGCACACACACAGCACACCAACACACACAGCGCACTAACACACACTAACACACACACTAACACACACAGCGCACTAACACACACAGCACACTAACACACACAGCGCACTAACACACACAGCACACACAGCACACTAACACACACAGCGCACTAACACACACTAACACACAGCACACTAACACACACTAACACACAGCGCACTAACAAACACAAACACACAGCACACTAACACACACAGCACACACAGCACACTAACACACACAGCGCACTAACACACACTAACACACACAGCGCACTAACACACACTAACACACAGCGCACTAACACACACTAACACACAGCGCACTAACACACACTAACACACAGCACACTAACACACACTAACACACAGCACACTAACACACACAGCACACTAACACACACAGCACACTAACACACACTAACACACACAGCGCACTAACACACACTAACACACAGCGCACTAACACACACAGCACACTAACACACACAGCATACTAACACACACAGCACACTAATACACACTAACACACACAGCACACTAATACACACTAACACACACAGCACACTAACACACACAGCGCACTAACACACTAACACACACAGTGCACTAACACACACTAACACATACAGCACACTAATACACACTAACACACACAGCACACTAACACACACAGCGCACTAACACACACTAACACACACTCACACACACAGAACACTAACACCCACCCACAGCACACAGCGCACTAACACACACAGCGCACTAACACACACAGCGCACTAACACACACTAACACACACAGCGCACTAACACACACTAACACACACAGCACACTAACACACACAAACACACACCCACAGCACACAGCACAATAACACACACAGCACACTAACACACACAGCGCACTAACACACACAGCGCAATGACACACACAGCACACTAACACACACTAACACACACACAGCGTACTAACACACACACAGCGCACTAACACACACAGCGCACTAACACACACTAACACACACAGTGCACTAACACACACAGCGCACTAACACATACAGCGCACTAACACACACTAACACACACAGCGCATTAACACACACTAACACACACAGCGCACTAACACACACTAACACACACAGCACACACAGCACACTAATACACACTAACACACACAGCACACTAACACACACAGCACACTAACACACACAGCACACTAATACACACTAACACACACAGCACACTAATACACACTAACACACACAGCACACTAATACACACTAACACACACAGCACACTAACACACACAGCACACTAACACACACAGCGCACTAACACACACAGCACACTAATACACACTAACACACACAGCACACTAATACACACTAACACACACAGCACACTAACACACACAGCGCACTAACACACACAGCACACTAACACACACTAACACACACAGCACACACAGAGCACACTAACACACAGCGCACTAACACACACTAACACACACTAACACACACACTAACACACACAGCACACTAACACACACCCACAGCACACAGCGCACTAACACACACACACACAGCGCACTAACACACACTAACACACACGGCGCACTAACACACACACAGCGCACTAACACACACACACATCACACTAACACACACACACAGCACACTAACACACACACAGCGCACTAACACACACACACAGCGCACTAACACACACACACAGCGCACTAACACACACACACAGCGCACTAACACACACACACAGCGCACTAACACACACACAGCGCACTAACACACACTAACACACACACAGCGCACTAACACACACTAACACCCACACTAACACACACAGCACACTAACACACACACAGCGCACTAACACACTAACACACACACACAGCGCACTAACACACACTAACACACACACACAGCACACTAACACACACTAACACACACACACAGCACACTAACACACACACAGCGCACTAACACACACACACAGCGCACTAACACACACACACTAACACACACAGCGCACTAACACACACACACAGCACACTAACACACACACACAGCACACTAACACACACTAACACACACTAACACACACACAGCGCACTAACACACACACAGCGCACTAACACACACACAGCGCACTAACACACACTAACACACACACAGCGCACTAACACACACTAACACACACACACATCACACAGCACACTAACACACACACAGCGCACTAACACACTAACACACACAGCGCACTAACACACACTAACACACACACACAGCACACTAACACACACACAGCGCACTAACACACACACACACAGTGCACTAACACACACACACACTAACACACACAGCGCACTAACACACACACAGCACACTAACACACACACACAGCACACTAACACACACTAACACACACACACAGCGCACTAACACACACAGCGCACTAACACACACACAGCGCACTAACACACACTAACACACACACAGCGCACTAGCAGCGCGGTGGGGCTCAGCGTGGGTACCGGGCCTATAAGTGGTCCAGCCTGGCAGGGTCCCCTCGCTCAAGGGGGTCGCTCAGGGGGGCAGGGACCCCCTGGGGGGGGGGGGGCAGGGGGGGGTCTTTGTCTCTCCCGCGAGCTCCCCCTTTGTCGCGAGAACGGAGGAGGAGGAAGCGATGGAAGAGGGAGGGTGAGGAGGGAGGATGAGGATGAGTGAGGAGGAGGTGGAGGGTGAGGATGAGTGAGGAGGAGGTGGAGGAGGTGGACAAGGTGGACAAGGTGGAGGACGAGGAGGTGAACGAGGAGGTGGAGGTACCGTGTGCCCGGCGGAGCTTGGAGGACCCGAATCCCCCACCCCCATCTACCCCTCCCCCTTTATCCCCCGCCCCCCTCGCTCACCACTGGCCACGCACCGCCACGTGTAGGTCCGCTCGGCCAAAAGTCCGGACACGTGACGGCCGGTGACGTCATCGTAGCTCCCCCCCCCCTCTGCGCTGTGGAATGCGGCCCCGCCCCCGCATCCCCCGCGCTCCTCTGCCCCTCCCCTCCACGTGGCCTGACCCTCCACAAAGACAAAGATCCCCCGTGTAGCCCTGCCAGACTGTTGGGGCAAGTGCTGTTAGCGAGCAGGAAGCTCCCGAAGAAGGCCGGCACGGCACACGAAGGGGTGGGTGGCCAGCACCACGCCCGGCCGCATCAGGAACTTCTTTGAGACTGAGTCGACCTCGAGGAGGTCCAGAACCAGTTCATGTAATCGTCACTGTTGGACGTGAGCGGGAATCGAACTCAGTTCGCCAGGTTTGTAGCATAGCGCGCTAACCGCTGCACTACCGCTCCCTCCTCACCCTCCCTCCCCCCCTCACTCACTCACTCACCCTCTCACGCTCACTCACCCTCTCACTCACTCACCCTCTCACTCACTCACTCACACTCTCACATTCACTCACCCTCTCACACTCTCACACTCACTCACCCTCTCACACTCACTCACCCTCTCACACTCTTACACTCACTCACCCCCTCACACTCACCCCTCTCACACTCCCCCCCTCATTCACTCACTCACCCCCTCACACTCACCCCCTCACTCACTCACTCACTTCCCCTCTCACACTCACCCCCTCACTCACTCACTCACTTCCCCCTCACACTCTCTCCCTCGCTCACCCTCTCCCCCTCACTCACTCCCCCCCTCACTCACTCACTCACCCTCTCACACTCTTACACTCACTCACCCTCTCACACTCCTCCCCTCACTCACTCACTCCCCCCTCACACTCTCTCACTCACCCTCTCACACTCACTCACTCTCTCCCCCTCACTCACTCCCCCCCTCACTCACCCTCTCACACTCCCCCCCTCACTCACTCACCCCCTCACTCACTCACTCACCCTCTCACTCACTCACCCTCTCTCCTCACCCTTCCCCCTCACTCACCCTCTCACACTCCCCCCCTCACTCACTCACTCCTCCTCTCACACTCTTCCCCTCACTCACTCACCCTCTTACCCTCTCCCCCTCACTCACTCACCCTCTCACCCTCTCCCCCTCACTCACCCAATACGCCTCACTCACTCACTCACCCTCTCACCCACTACGCCTCACCCTCTCCCCCTCACTCACTCACTCACCGCCTCACCCTACCGCCCGGCGCAGTCTAAAGGTCACATGTGGTGTCACTTAAAACACGTGACCTCGCGACACACTGGGATGGCTCCCATGTGTGTACACGCGTGTGTGTGTACCTGCGTGTGTGTACCTGCGTGTGTGTACACGCGTGTGTGTGTACCTGCGTGGGTGTACACCTGTGTGTGTGTACCTGTGTGTGAGTGGGGAGCGGTAGTGTAGCGGTTAGCGCGCTGCGCTATGAACCTGGCGACCCGGGTTCGATTCCCGCTCACGGCTAACACCAGTGACGATTATCTGAACCGGTCCTGGGCCTCCCCTAGGTCGACTCAGCCTTAAATGAGTACCTGGTGCGGTGTGTAAACATCGCCACTAGGGAGACAAAGGCGGTCGGGCGTGGTGCTGGCCACCCACCCCCTCGTGTACCGTTCCGGCCTTCATAGGTGCTCGCTAACAGCACTTGCCCCTACAGTCTGTTCAGGCTATACGGGGGATCTTTTGTGTGTACCTGTGTGTGTGTATCTGCGTGCGGGGAGTGGTAGTGGAGCGGCGAGCTCGCTGCACTCCGACCCGGGGTTCGATTCCCACTTACGACCACCAACATGTTGGTGCTCGCTAACAGCACTTGCCCCAACAGTCTGTTAAGGCTATAGGGGGGATCCTTGTCTTTGTGTACACGTGTAGTGTGTACACAAGGTGATGGGAGGGATATGGGGGGGGAAGTTGATGGTTGAAGTCGTGGCTGAAGTAGTCAGTGATGGTTGAAGCAATGTGCTCATGTAATGTCGTGTATGTTGGTGGTGGTGATGCCGTTGTGATGCGTGGTGTCCACGGGGGGGCGATGTGGCTCCGTGCTCGAGACGACGACGCGTCGCGTGGAGCTCCTCCAGAGGCAGCAGCAGTCGGAGCTGCGGATGCTGATGAGACGTTGAATGTTGAAACCGGCGCAGAGTTGTGCTCGTGACGAACCGACCAACGCTGCTGAGATTGCTCAGCAGTGGCTGATGGGATGAGTAGAATGTCCCCCGTGAGCTCTTGACGTGAAGAGCCAGAGATGGGGGGGGGGGGGGGTGTGTGCCCAGTTAATTTTGACGACTTCCCTGCGACACTGGGGACGACTTTGCGCTGTGCACGGAGAGCGGTGCCAGCGACGCGCAGCGCCACGTGCCAGGCCGCGTGCGGGAAGTGTGCGTCACGAACCCTCCGCCACCCGATACAGCCAAGCAATAAAGAATAACGCACGCGCGTATGAAGTAGGGTTGTTACACGAAAACCGGTAACCGTTTTCAGAATCGTTTACCGGTTCAGACCGCTTTCAGTCGCACGTCGGTCGCGAATTCACCGAGAGGCGGGCGCGGGGCGCACAGGCCTCGAGTCGCCGCCGCCGCGTGGCGGACCGGAGTCCCCGCACTTCGCCCAGCGCCACGCGCCACCTCCACGTGGACTTTGCTGCCGTGGGCCAATTGAGCAACGTGGCCCTAGGTTTCACATGCCGCGCCGGGAGATAGCATCCGACTGACGACCCGGAGGACGGCGAGTCCAGAGCGCTGCTGCTGACCACGGCAGAGTCAGAGTCGTGCTGGCCTCCCGTTTACAGCCCTGTAGAGCCAGCGGTGGGAATTCCACATTCCTATGGCGGGGAATGGGGGCGAGTCTATCCATCGGACATCTGTTCTTAAATTTCCCAGAAAGTGGTGCTCATTTTACCGTCCCTGGACGCACGGTGGGCACGGCAAAATGAAAATGATGATGGGCTGAGTCGACCGTCAACCTCACCCCAGACGGGACTCCAATTGAACTCGCGACCTCTCGCCCGCTGCCCTTCCACTGATGAGCTCCCCCCCCACTGCCCCCCCCCCCCCACTGCCCCCCACCCCGGTTGCTGCTGCCCGGCGACAGACAGATGAAGGAAGAGACGAGGAGGAGGAGGAGAGGGAGGAGGAGGAGACGAGTGGGAGGAGGAGGAGAGGTTTAATGGGGAGAGGGCTGAGGGATGGGGAGAATTCGCGTGCGCCGCGTGCAGGCGGCGCGGCGATGGGATTGTTTGTCCGAAAAGAGATAAAAATGAGAATATTAATAAAAAATAATAAAAAATAACAGATTGGAAATGGTTTTTCACGCCTAATTGCCACTTGTCGCGCGGCCGCGAGGCAATTTAAGTGGGGGTCGTTTAAAACGCCTTAATGACGGGGGGAGGGAGGGTTAGACTGAGACCCACACTACATCACCGCCACACACACTACCACACACACACAACCACACACACACTACCACACACACCAACAGCCATTCACACACTACCACTCACACACAACCACACACACTACCACACACACAACCACACACACAACCACTCACACACACAAACACACACACACAACCACACACACAACCACACACACAACCACTCACACGCACAACCACACACACAACCACTCACACACACAAACACACACACACAACCACACACACTACCACACACACACACAACCACACACACAACCACACACACAACCACTCACACAACCACACACGCAACCACTCACACACACAAACACACACACAACCACTCACACACACAAACACACACACACAACCACACACACTACCACACACACACACAACCACACACACAACCACACACACAACCACTCACACAACCACACACGCAACCACTCACACACACAACCACACACATACACACAACCACACACACAACCACACACACAACCACACACGCAACCACTCACACACACAACCACACACATACACACAACCACACACACAACCGCCATTCGTCACTAAGTGGCGGTGACGTCAACACGGCGCTCGTGCCAGGCTAGGTGCACGTTAAGTGTTGAACGCCCGCTGGCAGGTCACGGGGCAGACCCGGCAGGTGCCGTGGGCCCATTGACTAAGATGACTGGCCGATGCACCACCTGAGCGTCGCTCCTCTGCCCTCCGTTGTTGTTGGAGGGCGACTGCCTCCACATAGGTCGATCTTGACATCGCTGGTACCAGTCATCGGCAAGTTAACTCAGCTCCACATCCTCCTGTACCACATCACGCCATTTCTTCTCTAGCCTTTGCTGCGCCCGTTTAGCCCCCTCTATCCGGCCGAACAAAAGCTGTTTAGGCATGCGGTGGCTGGGCATGCGGGCTACATGAGTCAGCCAACGCAGCCTCGTCAACTGGAGTAGCTAACCGATGATGGGACTGTGTCCAGACCTTTCAGGATTTGTGAGCTTACACAATCCAACCTGGTTAAACCCATAATGGTTCGTAGGCAGGCCAGCCTGAATTTACAAAGCTGTTTAGATGTTCTTTTAGAGGGGTCCACGTTTTGCCAACAAAAGGAAGGCATAACTGTGGCCGAGAAGACCCGGAGCTTCGTGTGGAGCGACAGACCAGGTAGCTTCCCACACAGCGTTACGCAGCTGATGCAAAGATAATACCGTTCGACTGATTCGGATTGAGATCTCTACTGCCAAACCGGAGCTGGTCATACGCACACTGCCCAGGTACGGGAACGCCTCCACTCTCTCCATAACTGCCCCATTACTCGTGGAGCGTGGAGGGGTGGTATGTTTGATGGCAGATTATACACAGACAGGTGCTGTGTTATTGTCGGGGGGCTGATAGTCAGGCCCCGTCTCTTCGTGGCACGCTCCAGGTTTAGCAC